ATCGGACTTTGGATAGAGGATGTAAGGCTCCACAATATGTTCTTCTCTCTTTATTACTAATTTACTGTCTTGTGGGCGCCAGGGGTCTTATGTCATTAGTTCGCTGTTGCGCCAAAGGCAAAATATAATCATATATGGGCTTCCAGTTAGGTGTAGAAAGCTTCAAATAGCCTGGTACAGGCCTTATGAATAATAAGCAAATCTTTTGGTGCCCTAAGACTTTCTTACGTTCGGTCCTGGACATAAATAAAAATATCGGTAGTGTGTTGAAAAAAAAAAAAAGATAATGTTTTTCGTTTTCAACTGTTCTCAAGTGTTAAAAAATGTCCCAGATGTGTATTTTATTGTGATCAAAATCATTATCCTTCCAGTAATTTGTTGAACAAAAAAAATTGAATTAGGGTAAAGCATTACGAGCAATCAGAAAAGGCACTCAGTCACTTGAGTCTTATCATACACAATTTGACATCTACTCCAGCATAAATGGAAGAATGTGCATTTAGATGCTTCCAGATCTGCTGAGAAGAAATGCTGATATTTTTCTGTTTTACACATCCCTGCTGAGTAGGTGGTGTTGCTAATACATTAATGCATTTGTTTCTTCCCATTCAAGTACTGAGGCGCCACGTTGCGTCCACTAAGTCTACACAGTAGTTGCTGCTGTATACTTTATTTTTTTATATTTTCAGACAGTCCCAAAATAACCCCGAACTCCAGATATGTTAATAAATGATCAATTTGTTTTCCTGCTTGACACGCTCATTCACAGGTGACATTCATCACGGCACGCCACAGGAAGTCATAACTACGACGTGGCCCGTGGCAAAAATGAGTTTGACACACCTGCGCTAGCCGCTCCGTCTCCCCACTCACGATATGACAACAAATGTATCAACAAGAATGCTTTGGGCTAGTATCATTACATTGTCGGCAAATATTTACACTAAACATTTATGGCACTCAAAGGCAATCAGAAATGTACAGTAAAACAAAACTGCACACTTCATTACATTGTACACAGTCACATTGTATATATTTTAAACTAGTATTGCTATCAGATATTTTGGATGGTATTGTTCCTCTGTATATAGTTAGTTTTATTATATTTTGTCTTTAATATATATTTTTTTGCCAATATCGGCTGATATGAAATACTTTGTGATATCGTTATACGTTTTACAGTCATATCTCCCAACCCTATGTTCCAAGCTCATTGTGACTATCATGCTTAGATTAATCGTCAAATCTGTTTTAATTCGCACTTCCATTTATTTTGAACAAATACTAGAATTATTTCATTTCATTTGGCACTTTTGTTGATTCAGTCCTAAATTCAAAGTGAGTGGGTGAGATGGTGTTTTATTTTGTCCTTTAACTCTCAATTGTTAAATCACTGTTCTGGCTTTTGTCAGATGTAAAAAAACAAAAAAAACAAAAACGTTTTATCTTATTGACATTTTATTTCTCCAAAGTATTAGTGATTTCGGTATCGGTGAGTACTTCAGAGTTGAGTATTTATACTGGTATCAGTCTGAAAAGAGTGGTATCAAGAGCCCTCGTATTTATAACATGCACAGTAACTAAGTCTGCACATCACTGTTAAAAGGTGTAATACTGTAATTTCTCTTCAGCGTGTAAATGTATAATAGAATACAATACATCTTTATTTGAAGCACCTTCTGATGTTGTTCGGCTGCTCATTCTATTTGGACAGGAGACCATGACTTGCAATATTTACCCACTCTTAGTTGTCAAAGCGCTCCCAAATAGCTTCCTTGCAGATGCCTGAGGTGCCCAAAAATGACTGACTCCACCTTGATTAAAGCCCCAATGTCCAGTTGCAGCGGAAAAGAAACAACCTCAAAGTTTAATGATGCCACCACCGTGGTTGGTATTTTGCTAATACGTACTGTAGAATTATCAACATTTTTGAAGAAGACATTCATTCATTCATTTTCCGATCCGCTTATCCTCACAAGGGTCGCGGGGGGTGCTGGAGCCTATCCCAGCTGTTGTCGGGCAGTAGGCTGGGGACACTCTGAACCAGTTGCCAGCCAATCGCAGGACACACAGAGACGAACTACCATCCGCGCTCACACTCACACCTAGGGACAATTTAGAATGTTCAATCAGCCTGCCATGCATGTTTTTGGAATGTGGGAGGAAACCGGAGAACATGCAAACTCCACACAGGGAGGCCGGACCTGGAATTGAACCCGGTACCTGTGAGGTCGACGCGCGAACCACTGGCCCTCCGGGCCGCCCTTGAAGAAGACATATTATGCTTTATTTTTTTCCACCAATTTAAAAAAGGCCAAGGACAATGGTGACCACCAGTGAATGCCAAACACAATTAACAAGATTATATCTCTCTTTATTTTTCGTGACGTTACTTTAGGTATTCAAAATGACTTAACAATATTTTCCGCATCCTGAGCATTTGGCTCGTACATGTATGGTCCAACATAAATCCTGCCAACAACCACCTCTTCCTCCAACTCTTCAAACACTTGCATCCCGTCAGATAAATTTGAAACATCGCTTTCCGAATTGATTTCTGACTGGCTTTTGTACACGTCCCATACTGAGCCCCACTATTGTTGTCTTTGAAGTGACGTCACACTTCTGGGGTTGTCGCTCGCCAGCATCTCACTTCGGGAAACAACTACGTTGTGGGATTTATGAAATAGAAATGATTGTTTCCATGTTTTATTTAATGTGTTTTGTTTAATTAATTTTACTTGTGACCTAAGTATTTCATTTGTGATTTTCTGAAATTAATTCACACTTCACCTTTAAAACACATTCCAAAATTTCATTTCAAAACAGGTCATGATTCACGGGTGAGACATTGTGCCGAGATGATGTTTGCAAGCTGAGCTGTGATTGGTCATTACCTGAGCCCTGAGTAATGTCATTTTCAGTCGACAGTAAGTTGCAAAATACCTTTTTAAATAATGAAGTTATCAAATTCATTACAGACAAATTATTTGACTGCTGAAAATTGCTAAAATAAGTTGAATATCTTTTTAACTGTTTATTATGCTAGCCGATGGCTAACAGTCATCCGGACGCCACGGACCAGTGGCGAGCTCATCAATACCTCACCACCTCATGAGTATGAGTTCACGTAACCCTTTGAAATTAGTTGTATGTCACTGCATATTTGCTACAGTGGTGATCAACTTAAGCCAGCTCACATTAGCACCTTTAACCGGATAATGATGCAGCTATCTCTTGGCATTTTAATTAGTATTATTAATTTTTAATGGCACCATGCCAAGGAAGACTTTATAATAACTGTGATGACTGTGCTATTTACGTTTGGAACAAGGCGGGTGCTGGCACTCTCTTAATGACTGAAAAATCATTGCGACAGACGGAACAATCAGTCTAAGTCTTTTGCTTGGCATTTCTCATCCTTTCATTTAATTATAAAACAAATAGGTTTTTGTTGTTTTTTCACGAAGCAAATTTCTCAACAGATATCCTGGAGTCGCTCACCATAAAGGCTAGCTCAGCCTGTGTGTGCATCATAAGGCCTGCATCAGCCTCTCTGTGGCTCCTCTCTTCCTTCCCTCTTCTTGTGGCTTTGCCATTTCAGTTTGTTTCAGCCCAGAGGCAACTCCAATAAACTCTGCTATGCTTTCCAACAAGAGAATGATCACGGTGATGTTAAGGAATCTTTTACATGTTACATGATACCCTCTAATATCAAAACAGGTTCGCTTTCGTTTGTTCACCAATAATAATAATAATAATAATACATTTCATTTATAAGCGCCTTTCAAGACACTCGAGGACACTTTACAACCAAAACAAGAAAAAAACCCGCTAAAAAAAGAATAATTGCAGGTGAGCAGCGGCAGCCAGACGCGCCAGCGTTCACTCTTATGGGTTTGTTATACCCTTTTCCCACTGAAACTAGTGGATAGTAGTGATCCGTGGCGATACGCAACCAATTGGCATATTGTCCCTTTCCGACTGATCAACAGAAGGCGATTCTGCGCCCCCCCCCTTTTACCACTTTGCAAGCATACACTTATTTGATATTGTTTAACACCAAGTAGAATATTTCTCAAAAGCCCATCTTGAACTTTGTTGTGTTATTGTCATTTTATGTTAAATGTTCTGTAAAGCACTTTGTTACAGCTGCAGCTATTGTGAAAATTTCTCTCTCTCTCTCTCTCTCTCTCTCTCTCTCTCTCTCTCTCTCTCTCTCTCTCTCTCTCTCTCTCTCTCTCTTTCTTTCTCTCTCTTTTTCTCTTTCTCTCTCTCTCTGTGCGTGCGTGCGTGCGTGCGTGTGTGTGTGTGTGTGTGTGTGTGTCAAGGAAAGGCACACGCATGCACTGGTGAGACACCAGGTGGTCACCTTACCTTAGTTGCCAAGACAGCATTCAAATGAACTAAATTGGATGTTAATGTTTCGCACGCTAGCCACAGCGGTTTTTCGTTAACAAAATGCAATTTAAAATTAATGCGACAATTAAGACACACATTCAACAAACTAAGGGCAACATAAACCCACTTAAATGGTATTACTGGTCAACAAATGTTTAATTTTTTTTTCAATCACATATGAAAGTTTTCCAGATGAATATTTGTTAATGATTCGGAATCTGCCAACCGTTTTTCTCTAGCACATCAGGCTTTTCCTATTGATTACAACGCATGGTAAAATCTACACTACGGAAGCTTTCTTAGGTCAAAGTTGAAACAAAAAATGAAAAGATCTCAAAGAAATCTGATATAATAGATTTTTTTTTAATCAGAATCAAAATTGCTTTTAGAAACACATAATTCCACCCCTGATTAAAATTTGCTGTTGAGCAGTGTAATGATTAATGACCCCATGATGGAAATAGTTCAGTATTGCTTGTCACAATACACCCTGGGTACCGAAGAGTGGCCGAAAAGTACTCAAACAACAGTGATTTATTTATTTATTCCTCCTTCCTTCCGAAGAAGCAAGAGCGCAAACATTTATTTCCCCCCCACAGGGCAGTGATGCCTGGTATGGTGATGTTTCGGCGGCGCTGGTCAGTCGGCAGTGATGACCTGGTGCTGCCTGCCCTCTTTCTGTTTTTGTTACACTGCATCTGGTGAGTTGCTTTCTGTCACAGAACACAAGGCTTGAAATAAGCGTTTTTACATTGCTGTTTGCAGGTCAAAATGTGTACTTTGCGCCTCAGTAATACACATGACTAGCAAAAACGGAGAATCAAACTCCGAGCCAACCGTCAAAACTAGTATTGCACTCTGTCCGTCGTCGCGTATGAAAGAGAGTCGCCAACTCTCATCTTTCACATCAAGGAGCCCGTGCATGATTGTCAATTAGTCTCTGACTGCACATAGCCGAAGTGACTGATGGCTGTTAGAGCACACGAGAAGGAGAGAGATGACAGATACATGACAGCAGGAAATGGAGACATGCTGTATATGGACACATTCGAGCTTTATGGACAATACAAAGGCAAGGACAACAAAAAAAAAATCAAGGAAAAAATATATGATATTGCTGAAGCGGTAAGCAATTGCTGCTTGGTGCCAGATGGAGACTGCATTGTCGCAGTGTCATTCCTTCCTGAGAGAATCTTCATCAAAGCAGGGCAGATAATGTCCAAATGAAAAAAAAAAACAAACTCCTCTAAGCAGAGCCACTTGATTTTTCTCATTGTCGGTCTTAACTATACAAAATTGATCTGAGTGCTGTTTTCCTCCCTTTTTGTTTTACGTATTTTAATGTGTATTTTGTTGTGTTTTGTGTTTTTAAGTGCTTCAGTGTTGCTGAAAAAGTTAAAAGCTTAAATTATAAAAACGTTCAATTGAAAATAGTTGGGTTTTTTTGGATTTTACTTTGTTTAGCTCTATTTAAACAAAGGAATAAAATTACATTATAGCAGAGCTTTCTTTGCTTCTAGACAAAAAAAAAAAGTTTGCTGCTCTACACTGTGAATTTAAGAAATAAAAGTAGTTGACTCCATAAAAAAAGAGAACCGATTCATTCATCATATTGTCACATTTTTATTGTTTAATAAAGCCCTTGTTTCATTTTTCTGGGATAAACCTACAAAAAAAGCAACCACAAAGTTAGATAGTTACGGTACTTCTCCGATGAAGTCTTTAATTTGCAAAACTACACTGCAATGCAAAAAACATAATTCGAGCCTTGGAACTTTTTTTTTTTTTCTGGCACAGTTTTTCTCCCCACTACATGATTTTACTGTGTTGTTATGTTCAGGCTGGTAGTTCTCTCCGTGGTTTTGTTCGGCCTTCCCTATGGCTCTGACCAGTCCTGTTCTATAACACTGGTGGACCATGGCCGAGGGTACATGGGCATCTTGGTCAGCTGTCTTATCTGTGAGAGTGCCATCATGTGGTTAAGTATGAGAGGTAGCATCCTGTACACACAGCCCAGGGAAGCTGTGCAATACGTCATCTATATCCGACTAGGTAAGATGCCTCACTTTTAATCCAGGATATATTTGTACGTTATTTATTGACTTTCTGGTTCTGTGGTATAGTTTCAGTTTCAAGAATTCAAAAATAAGGAGAAATGTTTTTTGTTTTTTTGCTCATATTGATTATCCTCCTGAACCTTTTCTCTCTCTCTCCAGCCATTCTTCTAGTAGAGCTTGTGTATGCAGTCGTGGGAATTGCCTGGCTTGTTCAGTATTACCAACCATGCTCTGATGTGACTGCCAAAAACCTAGCTTTGGGTGAGTCAAACACAGGCTTTAGGTAGATCACTTGTGAGAATGTTAAAATGGTACCATCATATCCTACAGGCATGAATAATATTTAGTCTTTTGCCATCTGCTGCAGTCATCAACACATATCTTTTTGTATGCAGAACTTAGATTATAAAAAAATGTTTCATCCAAGTGCATTAACACGGTTGGTCAACCCAAAACACGGTGACCTGTTTTTATTTTAACAAATTCACGATTTTTGGGGGGGTTGTGAACGGATGTTATTCACTCGAACTTGATAACTCAACTGTATTTGATTAGTGTTTCTATCCACTTGAATGAATGATGATTCATAAAATGCCCGGTGAAATACATTGTGCTCCTCCACATGCAATTCTAGTTTGGTTTGAAATGTAAGTATTGTTCTGTTGTGTTTTAGGGATTGTTGCATGCAACTGGCTAGTGATATTCAGCGTCTGCATTACGCTTATGTGCACTTTTGATCCTACCGGTCGGACATTTGTCAAACTGAAAGCAACTCGCCGGCGTCAACGAAACCTTACAACATACACACTAAGGTACAAACAAACCTCATTTTTTGGGCGCACACATGAACAGCCACACGCCGATTATCATTTTTTTCCTTATTAACAAATTTCCTCCGCATTTAGACACCGACTTGAAGAAGGCCAGGCCAGCAGCTGGAGCAGGAGACTGAAATTCTTTATGTGTTGCACAAGAGCCCAGGACACACAATCAGTGAGCCACCTTAATTCATTTTTTTTGAAATAGACCTGCTTTTGGAATATGCAGTATAAAGTGAGCCCTAAGTATACCAAGGTAACGCTATACCATGTTTCAAGGTTACAAATGACACGCAATGAAGTACTGTACCTTAAAATTCAGGCTGCCAAACTTGTCCAACAAAAAAAAAAATTGTGCATCTCTCTTTCTCTCTCTCTCTCTCTCTCTCTCTCTCTCTCTCTCTCTCTCTCTCTCTGTCTGTGTGTATGTATGGATGTATGTATGTATATACCTGTATATACACACGCACACACTATATTTAACCATATTCAAGACACAATGAACTCTGATAAACCAAGGACCCCCCACACTATATCCATATTTAAGTTTGTCAGAGATACTGTACATAGCACACCATGCCCTCACATCTGCTGCTGTCTTCTGCAGGATGCATATTCAGAGGTGGCAAGCCTTTTTGCAGAGTTCTTCAGAGACCTAGACATTGTGCCGAGTGATATCATTGCTGGCTTGGTACTCCTCCGTCAGACACAGAGATCTAAAAGATCATCTATCCTGGACCAGGTATTCAATTTTTGTTTAATATGTTCCTTTTAAGGGAAAACATATGCATTTTTTTCTCCGTGATGCTCATCAGCCCATAAACACGGTTTAAAAAAACAACAAAAAAACCCATCAACTGTATTCCCGGAGTCAGCACTTCATCACCGAGCTGCCAATAATGCTTGTCATGTAGTGTGTGCATCTGTTTAAATGGCGCATGTAGCAGACACGTTGGCATACGAGAAAATAAAAAGGCACTTTTCCAAGCTAGCTGTGTTAATGCTTCATTTGAAACAAGATTGTTCAGCTTTTTTTTTCTCTCCACAGGGCAACAACGATATTTTAGCCTTCCTGTCCGGGATGCCTGTCACTCGGAACACTAGATATCTGGACCTTAAGAACTCGGTAAGTCCTTTGGTATGTCTATGATGAATAGATGAAGCCAAAGCTGAAAATCATATTTTCATTCACACTGTCCATCTATGTATGGACCTTTACACGTTTTCCCTTGTTCACTATCCTGGGTGTAAGGCACCAATGTCAAATGGTTTCAGACGACTCAGGAATTTCTTCTGATGTAATATCAGAGGTCTAACATAGACAAAAGGTCACATACCGCGACTCGAGTCTCAACACACCAGATTCACCGCCCATGCTCCTTTATGTTGAAAGTGCTGCGTTACCGACATCATGCCATCATCTTAATGATGCAAGTGTGAACATGAGTGACATTGGGACACTGCAATATCCTCTTTTGCCGAGTTTTGTCCGAAAGGCATGGCTGAATCAACCCCTCCGCTGTTAGGCTTCTGATGCTCGAATTTACTCGCCATGCATCTTGTATAAAGAAATACTTGACTTATGCAATTTTCAGGAGTAAAAAGTAAATATTTTGTCTGGAATAAATTTGATGACATTTTACTTCTACAGCACTTTTCATACAGAAAAATGCAACTCATAGTTCAAAATATAATATAAAAAGAGGACCCCCCCCCCCAACATACACAGATATATATCTCCTTAAGCATCCCTGCACGCGCGCACACACACACACACACACACACACACAGGGCCAGAAACTCGTTTACAATTAACACCTTTGAAAACGCATTTACCAATTGCTTTAGACATCATGTGCTCAGAACTCAGGTAGAATCCAATCATGGCTTATAGGAAGTTCAAAGTTGAGACTTTATTGGTCATTACCTGATCCCTGAGCATTTGTGATGTCATTTGGAGTCGACACCAAGTGGCAAAATGTGTTGTCAATGGTATACATGAAAAATCATTACGCTATTAAATTCATTCTAGACAAAATATTCACTTCTTACTGCTGAAATTGGCAAAATTAGTCAAGTATCTATCCCTTTAAGTTACTGCATCACAAAAAACTTAATATGCTCTATTCATGCTTATTTTTATAGGTTTTCCCAGTGATGAATTCACTTTCACTTGTTACGAACAAAAATGGAGTAAAAACGTATCCAAAGATGCAATACAAAATGTTTCATTAGGGGTGTTCACACGGCAACTTTTACTCCGGTGTAGCACCGGGGCTACCCCCCAGAGAGCGTTCACACGTACAATGTTATACCAGTGTAGCCCCTGAAAACAGCTTAAACCGGAGCAAATTTAACCCTGCTCAGGAGGTGGTTTAAAAATTTACTCCGGAGTAAATGCTAGTTTGCGGGGCTGCACCGATAAAAAATGGGACGTGTGAACGCTACAGGGGTAGACTTGCTACGCGTGAGAAGAGTTGATTACATACGGGAATTGCATAACTTGCATCCTGGGTATCTTTCTCTCTCTCTTTCATCCTTTTACGGTGTCTGATAGACCACAGCATTGATTTGTCTGGAGAAGTATAAACCGTGGTTTTTCGATATGTCACAAACAAGGCGGGGAAAAGGAAGTACACTTTACGCATGCACTTGTTTTATTTCCGTATTATCGTATTGCACTGCCGCAGAAACTGCCGTGTGAACGCAAGTGGGGCTGCACCTGGGTTAACATGCTTCTCTTGAGTAAGCAGCTTTGTACGTGTGAACGCTCCACAAAATTTACACCGGTGTGAGATGTATAGCAACAAAATACTGTACATCAGTGCAGCACCGATGCAAATGTGTGCCGTGTGAACACCCCTATTAATTATGATGCCAAAACAAACAGTTTGGTCTTTCAAGAAAATAATTTGGTTGGCCTAGAAGACCACTCGCAAAGAATTGAGATACAGAAAATGTTTTTTTTTTCAGATTTATTCACTTGGCGTGATATTTTTCTTTCCTTGTGTATTGTGGCTTAAATGCGTATCTGTATCCTTCTCTCCCAGACTGAGATGGGCATGTATAAGGATGTGTGCTACTACATGCTCTTTGCTCTCGCTGCGTATGGTTGGCCCATGTACCTGATGAGAAAACCAGCCTGCGGACTGTGCCGCCTCGTTAGCACCTGCCCGTAAGCACTCAAACATACACCTTCACAGTTTTGATCACATTTTGTTTTATGAGTCTCATGTGGCACTTTAGAAAGGATCACATTTTCTCATCCATCAGCACTTGCTAAATGGTAATCCGTTGAGATTGTGGCACTCGTCTAAGACCCGCTCACTACAAGCAATGTTGAACTAATCACGTTCTTACAGAGTATGTAATGGGATTATGTATTTTATATACGCTACACAACAGTTCATTTTGGGCCCACTTAATGTTTTATAGTGTCTTTATGTCTGTTTTCCCCTTCCTCTGCCCCCAGGTGCACATCAATGTCTGGCTCACGTTTGTCCCAGTCAGTGACAGTGGAGGAGGACAATTGTTGCGGTTGTAATGTTTTGGCCATACGCAGACAATTCTTGGACCGGGATCTGAAGCAGGTTCACATAGTCTACACTTCCTGCCATGATGCAGTGAGTATTCTATCGCCAAAGCAGTTGTAGGTGTTGGAGGGTGTACTTCCTCAGTTATGCCAAAGGCTATTTTTGTGGGGCAGTTTATGAACAGGTTCAAAAAAGGAAGCACCTAGCCAAGCGGTCACAGCCTTTGCAAACATTAGTGAACTAATGGGTCGTCTAGTGCTCACCGAATTTGAGTGTGGTACCTCTTAGACATTCCTTGTTGTAAATTGAACATTTAGACGTATTCAAGTAAAATGGAGTTTAGGACCAACTCGGGCATGGAAAGCACATGGCACGCATTGTTAAAGACCGGGGTCGCTGATGGCTGAGCTGGATAGCATGTAATAGTTTCCACCGTTCTGCTGACTCAATTGCACAGTTCTAAACTTCATCTGGTATTAACGTCACTAAAACTGTGCTGGGGTATTCATGGCAGTTTCTGTGGCCGAGCAGCTGCATAAACGCCTTACATCACACAATGTCACGCATTGGATGGAATAATGTGAAGCATGCCATCACTAGACGCTGTCACAGTGGAAACTAATTTTGAGGAGTGACATATCAGGCTTCGCTACAAGACTGATGAGAACATTACAACTAAGGAAGGAAGATTTTACAATCTCCATTTCTAACAGCCTGCGTTCTCACAAGATTTGGAGCAAAGACATGTACAACGTTTTAAGTTAAAGTGGGCATTGAATTGAGCATGTTAATGTAATGTTATGTATACAGCGATGGTTGTTTTAAAGTGCTCTATAAATACAGTTGAGTTGAGTTGTCCGGCTATTGCAGATGAAAACTGCTGGTTCTGCGTTTTGGGGAAAATCTGGAAAGATTAGAAACTTACTATAATTTACGGTGATGTTTACCAAGGTCACTGTTGCATAAATATGTCATTACTTCTACTCAACTCGTGTCCATCTCCTACTTCTGAACTCTTACCTTCACTGGTCAACTCCATCCTATGAGGCTTAGTACTTTCAGATCTGAAAAACGGCTTGTCATCAGTAACATGAATTCCCAATTTTGATTTTCTGTAATTATCTTTACTGTCTCGCCTGCACTAATGACTCTCATTGTCACCACCTCATCTGAAGAATATCTATCTATCTATCTATCTATCTATCTATCTATCTATCTATCTATCTATCTATGTAGAGAGAGAGACACACACACACACACACACACACACACACACACACACACACACACACACACACACACACATATTGGGTGGGTGTATTGCTTGTCTCAGACACCTTTTAAAATGAGAAATCAGCTGTGCTTGGTTACAGAAGATCATTATGCAGTAGGAAAGGAAACCTGTGAGTCTTGTTTGATGCTTTTTGAGCAGATTCCTACTCTTTCTGATACAATGCCTGCCCCCCCTACACACACACACACACACACACACACACACACACACACACACACACACACACACACACACACACACACACACATTGGTGTAATAGAACAATTGCAGTTAAAAATGACACCCAACTAGTTCAATTTTGTGTGATGTCAGGTTTTATAGCCTGAGGGAGCCTGAAATTAGGTGTAGGCTCAAGCGTCCAAATTTTGTCATGATACTATTTTGTTGAAGCGGTGCAATATTAATGGCTTTATTATCTATTGGATTAGCTGTTATTTGTATCTGTTTTGATGACACTTTGCTCACTTGTTTAGTTGCTGAGAGATGGAAGAGTTGTGCAGTCTCAGTGGGTGTCGCAGTCCTCTGAGACTGCGTTTTGTCACACATTTGTTGATGAATTGTCATGAACTGAGTCTCAAGATGCCGAGAAAAAAAAACACACACACACACACTTTTGGACTGTAAATGCTCATATTTTCTCATACAGATTTTAGCCTGAAGGTCAGTCTGGCTAAAGGGTTGGAAATGATTACCATGAAGTGCGTTTGTCATTGACGGTGTATCGATTCTGTTCTTTCGATGTGTTGTAGCCATGTGACACTTTACACATCATTCATTTCAGTTTCATTGAAGCTAAACTTAATCTCTCACGTGACACATCCAAATCTTACCACCACCCCAGTTTTATCCTTGGGATGATTCTCACCTATTATCCATTTATACAGTACATTCTGCTGTCTTCTATCCATTTTCCATCCAGGTTTATGAGACTCCATTTTTTGTGGCAGTGGATCATGAAAAGAAGAAGGTGGTCATCAGTATCAGAGGGACATTATCGCTAAAGGTGAATTTCATCTTTGCACAGCAAGACGCTCGACTTCTATCACCTCGAAACCTGTGTTGGGCCCCATCTTCTCTCATAGCCTCATCCGCACTGAGGTTCAAGGCAGTGTTCACAAACTCCTACACTGTGCAGGCACAGTACCAAAGCAGCACTCAGATATAAATGTCCTGTCTATTGTTTACGTAACACTAAAGGGAAGCTTGCATTGCAGTATTTAAGGCTATGATTGAAACGTCAGAGATCAGTCATGGCTGTGACAAATGACAAAATACTTTTCTCAGAAACCTCAAATTCTATAAAACTCTTCATTTTCATTTTAGCATAGAATGTTTTTTTTTCATGAATGTTGTACTTTTTACTTTTAGCCACCTTTTCTCTGTTTATTTTGACCTGTTTTCTTGTGTGTGGCAACAGGATGCGTTGACTGATTTGTCTGGGGATTCTGAGCGTTTACCTGTGGAGGAACAGCATGGGACCTGGCTTGGTCATAAGGTCAGAGAGAAATGATATAATAGTACATTGGCTCTGCAGTCGCTCTCTTTTAAGAAGAGCTCAATGCAGCAGAATTCTTGTTCTTAGTCGGACCACTTAATGCTTCTTTCTCTTTTCTCTTAGGGGATGGTTTACTCAGCAGAGTACATTAAGAAGAAACTGGAGCAGGAAATGATATTGTCACAAGCTTTTGGAAGAGACTTGGTACATGGACACATTCACACTCTTTGTCTAGATCAGGGGCACTCTGGGACCTCATTGTCCTATTGTTGCAAAATCGTGACTCAGTTTGACAGAGGTTAAAAACAATATTTTGTTTGTTTCAAGTATAGCCTCTGAAAACACATGCAGTAATATTTTTAAACACCGTTTAAAATGAGTTTGATGGACCTTCAAAAGCATAGCGGTAGCTATGACGTCCGCCAGCCAAAGGCTGAGTTGAACGCACTTGTTTACAGAGTTAATTAGTTGCTCGAAAACACATTTCCTGTCCCTTCCTTATGATATTCCGCGTGGGACCTCTGTACTGTACCTTGTAAAAAAAAAATTACATTTTTATATTGGCTGTCTTCAACCCACCCAAAATGGATCTGCTACCCACTTTTGTGTTCCGACCCACCAGTCGAGAACCACTGGTCTAGAGGATGAAAGGATGAATAGACGTATCTAATGTATATCGTAATATGAGTATCTTATATGGGGTTATACTTAGAGCGTAATATTACCATAGTAAACAAGGATAATTTTGTAACTATTGCTCAAGTAGCTGCAGTATATGGGCTGAAATATGTGCCACCAGAAACTGTTATTTGAATAATTTGTATTTAGTGGAAGGCGCAAGCATGTAAACAGAGGAGCTAGGAGCGAGGACCTAGGAGCGTGCAATTAGAAGAATGAGATGAGCCCTTGGCCTACTGTTTGAAAGAAATTCAAGCCCACTTTTTCTGAATGATATCATCGTGCTAAGGCAAGTATTAGCCAATTCTTTTCACCTCACATGATGGCACTATTTAGGAAAAGTGGGCTCGAATATACTATTTGAAACAATACTGCCTATCGATATGGGTTGTGCACCGTTTCTAGTGGCTAGAGATTCCAGACACCTAGATTTTAAATCTAGCCCTAGGTGTCAGTAATCTCTAGCGTATGTAATTCAATGCAGCAGGACATTAGGTTTAAAGAAAGGAAAAAAACTGAAAACACATTGCCTACGGGGCTTTGTTGTGATATGTTCATAAGTATGAATAGTCCTTTCCTCTATTTGAAAGGAAGCCCCATTTCATTCCTGCCTGACCCGTTGATTTATACCAATAATGTTAAGGAGCTGCTTAGGAGATCCAACTGTCTGGAGAGCCCCATGTCATACACTCAAAAATGATGATGCTTATTAGCTGAAGAGGATATCTATGTGTGTCTGCGATTGGTTGCTATTCCTGAAGTACAGGTTGTCTGTCACAGCTAATTTAAATCTGAATTAAGAGAACTGGATATACTGAAAGTGAAAATATGTATACCAGTAGTTGCATTTTCAGTGACCATCAAATATACCGTAGTTTCAGAGAACATAATTTTATGTCCCCTGTCAAGTTTATTTTGACTTCAGTTCCAGACTAATAAATCAAATTTCAAGTTGGACAATTGAGATTCAGCTTTTCAGTACCATGTGTCAAACAATAGAATTCAATTAATGGCATTTAAATTCATTTTTTCAATGCAATTATTCAAGTTGAGCTATTCAAATTCAAATATAAACAATTCAAATTAAATTTCTGGGAGCACATACTTCATCCCATAGCAGTGTGCCAGTGTGATGATACGGGCCATCTTTCAACAGAACAAGGGCACCATGCATTATGGACTGGTGATAGTAGGCCATTCTCTTGGTGCTGGTACTGCTGCTATTCTTTCCTTCCTGCTGAGACCTCAGTATCCCACACTTCACTGCTACTCTTACTCCCCACCTGGTGGCCTTCTTAGGTAAATTTGTCCTTTTTTCACTCACACACACACACACACACACACACACACACACACACACACACACACACACACACACACACACGCACGTGCGAACTATTTTGTACCCCTCTGTTAAAGAAAGACAAAATCATCATCATCATAAAAGAAAGGCAATGATGATATTAAAATTTTACTGGTTCAACAGTATAAATTAAAAAAAAAAAAACTCATGAAGGAGGCCTGGACAAAAGTGATGGTTCTCTTCACTTCATATTTTGGTGTGCTATCTTTTGAGGCAGTTACTTGGCTGCTTACTTTCAGTGAGACTTTTGTACCTCTCAGCAGGTGTTTTGGTCCACTCTTCATAGGCCAGCTGCTCCAGTTGTCATTCCCAGGTTTGAAGGATCAAATGTTTCTGTTCCTTTCACAGTTGCTCAATAGAATTTAGATCCAGGCCTGTAGAAGACCACATTAGAATATTCCACTGTTTGCTCTTAGCCATTCGTGTCTCTTTTTAGTTGTGTGCTAACGTCAAGCCCTGGTTAAGAAACAAGAGGAACAAAGCAGCTCTATGGAATTGTCTCTCAATTCAACTTTATTTATAGAGCACTTTAATAACAATGACAACCGCATTCAAATCTCTGTATTTAAAGTAAAAATCAGACGTAGAACATCAAAGACTGCTCAACCCCCAGAGTAGCCTTTGATTTGTGGGTCTCAAAAATCTGCCAACATTTTCCTTGTAGGAAGCTGTGTTTTAGCACCCTAATAAAAACCATAATAAGGTAAATAAAAAGAAATGATACCTTTTAAAGTGCAAAATAACAGTTTACTTCAGTACATTTACATAATTTTTTTAAAATTCAGTGTACGGTGAAAACGGAGTCCGGAATGGATTGCTTTTACAGAGTGCTAATAATGGAGATTTTGGATGTACACGTATAGAATTTTATTTATGTATTTATTTATTTTTTGCGGGGGGGGGGGTATCAGACCGATATCAATATCGGATCGGGACACACCTATATATTTCCCGAAATCAAGTCAAGCCCGGAAAAAAAACTTGTCCTCATCCTCGCTATCAGGTTTTTAATACTTAGCCTTACTCACTGATTTTTCATGTGACACAACGCAAAAGCCTTGGTAGAAGTCTGTTATTTTGAAGTGCATTTGATTCAATTTGATAAATGTTGATTTGGAGTAAACGGTGTGTCCAACCAAATTCTCCTCTATTTTTCAACCTGATTGACTCTTCTTTTCAACCAGTGAGGATGCCATGGAATACTCCAAAGAGTTTGTCACCTCTGTTGTATTAGGAAAAGATCTGGTACCAAGGTATCTCCTTCACTTGTACATTGTAAATGCACTCCTTAGAATCCTGAACTTGTCACAGAGTCAACCATTGCTGTTGTCTCCTAGGCTGGGCCTGTCTCAGCTGGAGGGGTTCCGTCGCCATTTGCTAGAAGTTCTACAAAAAAGTAACAAGCCAAAGGTAAGCCTCTTCCTGTAACACCTGTACAGGACCTTAAATGCAACAATGGTTTGCAAACACTATTTCACTTACTGTATAATGCTTCTGCTGAAAACAAAACAAGGCATTTTGCCTCAAAGCAGAGATAATGTGCTTTTATTGCCACAGTGGAGGATCATTGTGGGAGGCACCAAATGCATCCCAAAGTCGGAGCTTCCACTTGAGGAGGAGGATCCTCCATCTCAGCAAGCAGCACCCCCCAGCAGTCGTCTGTGGCTCCACCCCAGTGACCTCAGCATCGCCCTCTCAGCCTCGACCCCCCTCTACCCTCCTGGCCGGATCATCCACGTGGTGCACAACCATCCTCCAGAGACCTGGTAAGAAGGCTGGTTTCAGAGCTGCATACTTCTTTCTCTTTTTTTTTTTTTTTTTTTTGTCAAAATGGGGGCCACCCCGTTCGGGGGTTTTTTTTTTTTTTTTTTTTTTT